GTTCTTTCTCAATGTAGATAATATATTACCAACCTCACTAATTAATAAGACTATATTAATTCCAAAATTGAAATGTATAAATAAATTTCACAAGAAGATTTTACATTTTMAGTACCACATTTATGGTAATACCATATAATAAATAAATATATATGTCACATACATATATTTCATTCATTATTCATACTAGAACACTGTCACAGATTTGATATGGATTAAGGCATTGAAATATTAGATATAAAAATATAAATGTTTATGGTTTTACTACTGGTGCCTTGGTTCCAGTGGTATATTTTGTTATGAGGACAGCATCTTGACAGTGTGAAATAGCCATGATAGTTCAAGCATTATAAGGGGAATACAAATTGAGAAAAGGGCAATAAGCTTGCTTTTTAAGAGAGCAATTTAGTAGAGCATTGCAGGTGATGAAGTAGGTAATTTTGAGGAGATGAGCATAAAGAATGTCTCTCAGTCTTTCCAGTCTTTCCTCCTCCTCTCTCTTCCTTCTTTGTTCAGTCCTGTTGGTAAAAATGAAAAAGCACACTAGAAAAGACTTTGGAGAAGTTKACAGGGACCTGAGTTGGATCTTTAATTTCAGTACAAAATAAGGGARCCTATCTTCATAGTAAAGAAAGTGATTCAAAAATGTGAGAAAGTTCCAGGCTAAGAAATATCAGGCTTTTTTTCCCTCTTTTTCTGCTTCCTGCTGCGATGGGTAACCCAGTAAGTAAAAATATGATCTGTTGGTGAAACCCAGATGGAATTTCTGCACTGTGTGAAGAGAGTACAGATGGGAACAGGCCACCAAAGGCCAGCACCCAGAAGGACCRGAGTCCTGGTAGAGTGAAATGATGCCTATGTGAATGGTCTCATGAGCTTTAAGGTGGAGCACTTGGCAAAGAGCCATCCTAGGTCTCTTAGGGAAAAGAGCATTGCTCCTGGTGGCTTTCTACCTTATTAACTATATAAGATCTACCATGGAGAAAGTGACCTCACTTTCTTGCTAGAGACCTCACCCTCATGCCTCAGTGGAGAAGCCTCATCTTACCATCCCCCCTGCCATGGCCTACTAGAGAAGGACTGCTGCCTCCTGCCCTGGTCCCCAAGACCCTGCACTCTGAGATGCAAGAGTGTTTATGCAACTGACCCTGGGGTCACAAATCATCAAAATGATATTTTGGGTGTTTCAAAAAGAACTTAAAGTCAATTTTAGAAGAGAGTTTGGCAATAAATGCTAAGGAGGAGTTGGAAGATGAACAGAAGTATTATTTAGTATTGAGTAGAACTAAAGAATCTATAGAGTTTCATGGCATGAGTTTATCAGCATAGCTTTTGCTTTTCCGTAGTCAGCTTAAATTATCAATTAGCTATGATCAAAAGTTGAAATTGCCTGGTAATTAACACTTTCACAATTCCAAAAACACTTTAATCTGCAAGTTGAATAAATATTTATTGAGTTCTTTAAATATCCTGGAGATTAATGGTCTATCTGTACAATAGCTAAGATATGGAACCAACACAGGCACCTTTCAATAGATGAATGGATAAAGAAAATGTGGTACATGTATGTGTGTGTGTGTGTGTGTGTGTGTGTGTGTATACACATACAATTGAATGTTACTCAGCCATTAAAAAGAATGAAATTATGACATTTGCTGATAAATGAATGGAACTGGAGACTATCATGCCAAATGAAATAAGTCAATCTTAAACAACCAAAATCCAAATGTTCTCTCTGATATGCAGGTGCTAACACACAATAAGTGGTGGGGGGTATAGAAGTTCAGTGGATTAGACAAAGGGGAATGAAGTCAAGTGAGAGAGGATGGGAAAGGAAAGACAGCAGAATGAATTGGACATAACTTTTTTTCGTATGTTCATATATGAATACATGACCAGTGTCACTTCTTACAAAGTTCAACACAAGAATGGGATCCTAATTAGAGTAAGTTATACTCCCTGTATGTATAGTATGTCAAAATGTACTCTACTGACATAGATATCTAATAAGAAGAAATAAAAAATGAAATAGGAAAAAAAAGAAATGCTTAAGAGATATATTGGAAAACAACAGGTTTTAAGTATATATATATATATATATATATATATATATATATATATGATCACTTTTGTCTTTTAATGATGCGTTAGTTCATTGTACATGTGATTCCTGCCGTGTTAGCTCATTTCTACTGTCTCATTCCATAATTTGTAATTATTTTGCTTTCTGTTTCTTTATTTTAATTTTTATCTTCTTTTGGATTGATTTTTTTCCTCATTCAGTACATTTTCCTGCTATGGTTTGAATCCCATATACTTTATTTCAATTATTTTTGCTAGATACTTGACTAAAATTTTAATTTTATTCTAAGTGCAAGAGTTAAAACTAAAGTTCTTGGTCATGGAGCCTCAGTACATGTACCTAGGGCAGATATCTACTTCAAAGTTATGTTTCTGATATTACTGCTTCCATTACTGCTCTCATTTTACCTTGTGTTTTGAGGATTTTAACATACCTTCTCTCCAGCTCAAACATGCATTGAAAGTTAATTTAAAAAACTTTTACCCATAATTTTTAATGTTTTGGGAATAGGGTTTTTTAAAAGTTATTTTGTCTTCCACATGAATTTATTTGTAAATTGTTTTTTATGAAAAATACTAAGAAAAAATATATAAATACACAGTTTTTCTGTTCAGTATGTAGGTACTGAGGAGGTTACATAACTATTTGCTAAACTGGGAATTTCTTCTTGGTAGAAGAGAGGTATCATATATAGAAATAATAATAATTTATAAATAAGTATATAAAAATTTTTATTATTCTTTGAGTAACTAAATTAAATGCTGTGAGATTGCAGGAGAGTAAGATTTTATCTCAGTAGTCAGTGCCCTGCATATATATTTTATGAAAAGATTTGTACACATGGCTAAGGTATAATTCAGTGGGTGAGTGCATGCTTAGAGTGCACAAGGTCRTGGGTTTGATCCCCAAAGCCTCACAAACAGGGAAAAAAATAGATTTCCTGAGGTAGATGCTCTTTTGATTAGACCCTATAAGATCTATAAAACTTCTTTACATTTATGCTTGAATTTAAAAATACAAGGATGCTTTGGTTTTCTATTACATCTTAGCATAAAGCATATACTAAATTAGGGATTTGTAAACTAACCCATGGGCCAAATCTGGCCTACTATTTTTGTAAATCAAGTTTTCATTGGAACATACCTACATTCATTCATTTTTGTATTATGTRTGGTTGCTTTCCTCCTGCAACAGTGAAGATGAGTAGTTGCAAAAGAAACTGGCCCACAAAGCCTAAAATATTTACAGTGTGACCTTTTACTGAAAAGTTTGCCAATTCCCATACTAAATCATGTTCTGTATTATAGAATAGGTTCATAAGGAAACTCTTCTTAGCCTTGCTTTCTCATTGGTATTTACTGAAATAGATTTGATTGCAGGAATGGGAGGGTCTCACAATAAATATTTGTCAGAGTTCTGGTATTATTGCATATGGTAATTTTTGAAATAGTAGATGTCCATTGTTGTTTTCTACCAAATTTATCCTAGATTAATAGTACTTAAAGTATAAATGTTTAAAGAATCAAATAATTCTTCAATAAACTGGCCAGATATTCTTGCATTCATTAAAGAAAATATCATATGTTTTATTCTGTTAAATGAAATTAGCTAACTTTTAAACTGAAAATGTTTTCAGATATTGACTTATGTGCCGGTGCATGCATGTTTGCTTTAATTTTAAGAATTTAGTAGAAAAGGGTCAACTGGTAAGGCAGAAATTAATCATTAAAGTTCTGTTTGATGTTAGCAGGAAAGCATAATGAAATCCCAATACCTTAAACATTACGGTGTTTGGACCTAACTTACCTGATACTGCATCTAGAGGTTTCTTTGGTTTTAGAGCATCAAGCTAACTGCTTGAATTAACAATAGCATCTGTCTACCCTGTGTTCTAGGGAATACTCAAATGCAGCAAACAGGCTCAGAGACACAGATGAATCTAATCARCTATTTCCCAGGAGTTTCTCCTGGCAAAATAGCCAATGGCTACTGGCTAGGCTTAGGACAACTCTTCAGTTCTCATTTACAAACCCAAGACATCTTTTCACTGGGGAATTTACTAGATAGCATAGTGTTCTATTCAGAACAGCAAAAAGTTCTATTTATAGTAATTTAAGATTGGGAGACTTCAACTGATGGTGGGGTATGTGAATCATATTCATTGAAACCATTCTTATGGAAAATGGGTTGCCTCAATAACTSGTTTTCTTGCCATCAAAAATTATCACTAGTAGCAGCCCTCGTACATATAACTTAATTGAGATGGAGAAAAATAGGGATATGTAAAAGAACTAAATATATGCAAGGTGTGGTTTCAAACTTTTTTTATATTTGCAAGTTGTGTTTTAAAACTTTTTATGTGATATGGAAAAACTGGAGAGTTCAAATATCATGTATAAGCCAACATTTATTTATACTGCACTAAATCATTTACAAGTCAGATGCCAAATAAAAAGGAAGTATTCTCCAGGAATGAAGGTAAAGGAAGACATTTTGTGGAAGACAGATTACCTAGCAATGTAGTTTAAAATAGTGTTTTTCAAAGTATGCATCATGTTCAAATAGTGGATTATGGAATCAATTGACTGTAAAAAAAATATTCAGTATTAAACTTAATAGAATAGAAAATATCAGAGAACATATTTTGTTTARTTTTGGCTTCAGCTTTAGTTGTAAAATGTTGAATGCCCAGTTAAACTATTTTGGAAGGTACCTGTCTTAAAGAAGCAGAGGCATGCACTCRATACATGAATTCCACTGCTGGGACAAACAGTGCTTTTATCGAAGCTACACAAGTTATAACAGTAAATTAAACTAGAACTAGTACTAATACATTTATATGTTCATTTTGCTTTGGAAAAATTGTCTTCTCTCTTCATCGTTTACTTAGTTTACCCCCATTGTCTCTTTTGCCTAGGAGATTGCATCAACAGTTTGAAAGCTACAAGGAACAAGTAAAAAAAATAGGGGAAGAAGCGCGGCGTTACCAGGGCGAGCACAAAGATGATGCGCCAACTTGTGGAATTTGCCATAAGACAAAGTTTGCTGATGGGTGTGGTCACCTTTGCTCCTATTGCCGCACCAAGTTCTGCGCGCGCTGTGGAGGCCGCGTATCTCTACGGTCGAACAACGTGAGTGTCCCATGAACACAGAGGCCTGTGGGTGCGGACCAAAACCATGTCACCTGCAAGCATCAAAACACGTGCAAGTTAGGAACCAACTGACCCACGTGTAAATCTACACAATAGCATTGGCTTTCCACATTTTGTTTGTGTTTTCACCAAGTTCCTTGTAGTGTTAGTGATACACGAATTCCACTGCTGAGAATTCGAATCATAAAAAAGATAGCTGATGGAAAATTCCTGTTCCATAACTACACGAGATTATCTGTGAGGGTAAATTTATTTTTGAATAATGTAGTAAATGAAGATTGAGTAGCCTGATGCATGATAGAATCCTTGTAAATTGTTRTGACTGATTCTTCTTGTAAAAAAACAAAATGTTAGCCATTTTTGGTTTTTGCAACCTAAATTTTCAAATTGAATGGAGGTATGAGGCAGGATAAATTGTGTGTCCTTACATGTAGCCCAAGATAAAATATTAAACAATGATTAACCTCTGTGATAGTAATTTCAGATTTACTATCATGTTAAATATAAAAAAAGTGTTAAGTTTATCATATGGGAATTATTTGGGTAATTAAGAAGTGTATCAAAATATAACTTTTTAAAATTTTGAGATTTACACTTCTCATTTTCTTTGCTATGTGGTATGTATTCTTACSTAATATGGTTTCTTTATTTGACTTAATGAGAGTTACTTTTGTTATGCCATTGTTTTAAATATATGCATTTTTTTTCTTTGGGATCCTAGGGGCTCACAATTATTAATTAAGAAATTCTAGACTAATTCTAMCAAGTATTTAGATTAGAATATATTTGAATGTAGTTTGTCATATTCCCTGTGTTAATACAATGGAATTATTTATAGAGAAATTTCAGTGAGTTGGCTGCAGAATAATATACGACTATTATAATAATCATAGATCAAGAATTCCCAGTGTTTCTTGGAAGAATTTCCCACATTATCTAATCATGTATAGAATTTAATGTAATATAAAATTATATTTTATGAAAGCTGTAAGCCCTCTTGATAGTTTTCTAATTTGGAAAATTCCAGATAAAATTCAAACAAGTCTCCCAATTGATGTTGTATTCTTTGGTAAATCTGAGTTTTAAGAAGCATATTCTAAAATCTCTTCCAATGGAATTATAGCACTGAGTGTAGTAGACATATTTTATATTTTAAGGGAAGACAATGATTATCTTTGTTACTTTGGGGAGATAATTCCTCTTAACAATAGTTTATCTATAAAACTGGATAGTAATAGTACCTTGTTTGGTTCTTACGAGAATAAAATAAAAATAATTAAGTTCATGTCTTTATAATATACCTAATGTTTATTTAGGTTCAATTCTTGTGAATACTTAAGTTTTATTTTTTCCCCTCCTAAAAGTGATGTGCTACAGTTAATCCTCATATGCCACCTTAAAGCCTGACCAGAACAAGCTTGTATATTTTGTCTGGCACATATAAAGTACACCAGATTTATTTGTTAATTTTCCCCTTTCTGGTGTTTTTAAACATATACTTTGAAATGAATTCTCACAGGTGAGACCATGAAGCAGTAATCAAAATGCTTAACACTGTTCAGTCTAAAAAGGTGCTGGCAGTGAGGGGTGAGATATAATCCAGCAGTGTTAGTGCTGGCTGAGCCCCCACAGCTGTTGAGTGCTTTTAACTTTCCATCTTAGGTTTGAGGCAAGCCAGTAGCAATCCAGTTAAGTACCGATATATTGAAATCATCAAGGTCAAATGCAGGTTTTAAAAGGGAGAGGGTTTTTAAAGAAAACTGAGCAAGGAAGTTTTTTAAATGTTGAGGAGGACATTCACCCTTAGCCTGCTGCAGTTCATCTGTCTTTAAAAAACATCTAAACTTGGAAAAAAAAATAGTTAAAGAAACAAAATTTTTAAAAGCTCCATTTAGATTTTTTTCTCTTGAACATAAGACCAAAAAAAAAAAAACTGTATGAAGTTGTTTTCCTATGACATAAATGTTGCTTTTGAAATAATTTATGGCTAAAATAGTTAACATATTTCTCTTCACATTTTTGTTTTTGCTTTTTAAAACATCTCCCACTCTTATATTATGACTATACACATTTTAACATTAACTTGATAAAATTATTTAGTACAATTATATGCATTTAAGAAAATATTTACTTTCCATAGTAAGCTAATATGTAGTAAATTAACTTTTCGTTTTGAAGAATATTTTAAAACTGGATTTATAATCTGGATTCTACAAATTTAGGAAATTATTGTGCCCAATTATTGTATCTAATGTAGAATAGGATTCATGTGTGCATTTTTAAATGAAAGATTTACTTTTCAAAAGGATTCATGTGTGCATTTTTAAATGAAAGATTTACTTTTCAAAATACTATTTTAACACTTTGAAGAAATACATAATTGTTTCATTAAAACCAATTTATTAATATATGGCTCATTTTGTTTTTTCTCTTCTTCTTTTTCTTCTCTCTCTACTCTGCTTCCTTGGATGCTTTCCCAAAGGAGGACAAAGTGGTTAGAATCCATGCTTTCTTTTCTATCATTTGTTATTATATTGTTGTGAATTTTATTAAGTGAATGTTGCACTTACTATTGTTAGTTACTAYATTTCACAAAGAAATTAAATGCTGGGAAGAATTCATTCCCAGTTCTCCTGAAAATAAAAAGATGAACATGACAGAATATTACATTAATATGTAAAGTCTGGGTTGTTTGAGTTCATGAGGACAGTGAAATTTTAATATAGTATATCATTATGAGCTCATTTGTCTTTTTAGCTCATTTAGCTTTGAGAATTATTCCATCTGCTTTCAGGAACAATAAACTAAAATGGGCTTTACCTTTCTGAACACTGATTAGATGCAAAGGCAGGTGATTTGAAACATTATTATTGAATGAATGAGATATACTGATAATATAGAAAATGGATCAAATTCAAATCAAGATATCAAGATAAAATTATTTTCCTATGAACATATGTAGCAGAATTATAATATTGAACCACATCCCCCCCCCATTTTTTTCCTCTCCATGCATAGAAATTACTTCTTAGGGGAACCAGAGGTCACTTTTAACTCTTATCCACTATAGAAACCACAAAGGCTCTTTGTTCTTGGGAAGATAGGACCCAAGGGGAATCTTCAGTCAGTCTCTCCTTTGTATATACTCTTTATATCTTCATTTGGTGTAAATTATAACTTCCTCACAACTCATTAGTCTTCCACTATGAGACTGAAGCAATGAGTATTTCAGTTCACATGTCAACTCAACTGCCTTTGTTCATATTTTTAAAGCTCAAATGATGTACTACAGTGCATAATTAGCAAGCATGACATTACACTGAAAATTAATCTGTTTTTAAATTCCATGCTAATATATGTTCATCAGTTTTTTTCTATGAAAAAGAAATCAGCTTGACAAATTWTATAGGGTAATCTGTTTTCACTAAATATTTTGCCTGTAGTATTGGTGGTATGTGGGAATATTTAGGAGATATTACTTTCATATAATAATATACTGTAATAGAAAAAAATATAACTAGAATTTTATACCTGGAGTTTCATAATTATTGTTACTTTAGATGAGTCTAAATTTGAAATGTGGATGATTTTAAGTTCATTTAAAGAATRAAAGTGTAAGTAAATAACAATGCTATCATTGTGCACTCCTGAAGGGCTGGCCAGACTTGCTGTTCTTTTATAGGACTTCCCCTGTGGGAAGGTGGTTGGTGCTTGTTACAATCACTAACTGCATAATGAGAATTCTGGTGGATTTGGTGGTTCTCAGACTAAAAATAGAATGGAAAGATTATATGCAATATACTCACATTCAATTATTTTCATCACTTTGGTGAAATTGCATGTATCTACTACTTTTAGAACTCAGTCATAATTTATTTTAAAACTTTTTGAGCCTATTGAGGCAATTCTTCAATGAATTGCCTTTCTAGTCCAAGGAAACCAAAGTCAGATTTTGTCTTGGAATTGTTAAAGAAATAACAGAGTATTAAAGTACCAATTGCCAGTCCTTTCCTACTTCCTCTGAGCACTTTTATTTTTGGTTGTCACATTATGATTTGCAGGAAGGTGTGTTCATGTGTGTGTGTGTGTGTGTGTGTGTGTGTGTGTGTTTGAAAAGGGAAGAAGAAAAAGGATGTTTAAAACTTTTTCAAAACCAATATTCATCATGATCAATAAAACAATAATGAGTTCTTCTTGGTTTGTTAACTTGGAGAAGAAATGTGATTAAAATTCTAGAGAAAGCCTAAGAAAGGCCAATGTATAAATATTTTTTTATTAAGTCCAGTGAAATGTTCATTGTCATATTTTTTAGTCAACAGTATTTTGCTCTAAAATTTCATCTTAGTCTAAATCTTGTCTAATAATAAATTAGAAGATTATGGACTATTTTTTATAAAGAAAATGGCTRTTATAATGAATCACTTTGAAATGGTTGTGTATGATAGGTTTTAACAGGAAATTATTTTGTACATGTTCATAGTCTTATTGGTAAAATTATGATTATATTTTATTTCATTGAAACCCATCTTTCAGCCTAAATATGTACAGATACTTCAAAATTCCCTATAGCCTGTTTCTGCTGCTTTTATCTTTGTTAGACTCATCTTTCAGCCTAAATATGTACAGATACTTCAAAATTCCCTATAGCCTGTTTCTGCTGCTTTTATCTTTGTTAGACTCTATTTGGTGGCAGAGGATTGAATTTAGATACCTCCCTTGATACCATTAACACTTTTCCATAGTAAGTCTGTGGAATTGAATCATCCAAATTCAATTCCTTTGGGATTTCCCATAAATTTCCATTGTTATTAATTTATTTTTGAGTGGGATGGATTAGTTTGAATATAGTAACTAAAATGAATTTGGTACATTTTAAATTTATTCATATTTTCACAAGAAGTGTCAGGATTTTAAAGAACATTTTATAATAAATGCCAGCCTCACTCTGAAAAAAAAAAACACCCAACAATTTTCTTATCCTTTCAAAATGTGAAAGTTATACAAATATAAGGTTTTTAAAGTATGTGTAAAAATGATATTTTATATCAAAATAATGAGGCATTATATTTACAAACTCACAATTTTACATCTGAACCCTTATAACTTTTCATTAGTGTTGCTCTTAAAAATTATGTTAAATATTATGTTAATGAAACAAAATGTGTTTTTATTTTTAAAATACTTACAAAAGGTAAAGTTTTGAATGGAATTAAACAATAACAGCTGAGTGTGAAACTATCCTTTTCATATGGTATTATCTGTGAGATGGTTGATTTTCAACAACATAAAAATCTCCCCTTTATAGACTCTGCTCTTAAAAAAATCAAAGTAATAATTTTATTTTTTCCTCTTGCTAGGATTAAATAAATACAAGCAAATCAGCAGAAGCATAACTATTTTAAAATATGATTTGAATGATTGCATTAAATATTTATTATTATTATGAAAAATCTCCTCAGTTATTCATATTTAGTCCATAGCGTGACTAAGCATATGGTAGTAATTTACAACCTTTCCTCACTCAAAAAAGTGATTTTAAGATTTATCTGGACCCACCTTCATGTTTTCTTTTTTTCTTCTAGATATTTGAATGGATTTCTCTGGCAGAATTTTTCTTAGAGATTCTTCCCCTAAAGATCTTCCATACCTAGACCTATATGTAAAAGTGCATAAATAAAAAATGTTAGTATGCATCAAGAGGAGAACTTTCATTAGATAACTTGGTTGATTAGATTTCTCAAGGTGTTTTGTTTGGTTTTGTTGTGCTTATCCTAGAGGGGAATAAAACATCAAGTTGAAAAAACTGTTATGCAAGATAAGTCAGAAAGCTGTGAAATTTTAATTACAAATGTGCTTTCAGAATTTGCTACACTGTTTTTCAAGGAATTTCAAACTCCTGCATTTAGCATTACTGTTTTGGAAATATTTGCTGATATTCAGTAATGGTTAGGAAGTTTATAGGCCTGGTTAGTATGGTTTTTTTCCTCCTTCGCAAATCATTTCTAATAGTTATAAAGTCTGTTTCAAGAAATAATTATTTCACAAATTAGTGTGAAAAGAATCCATAGTAGGGATAAGAAATTCATCAGGCTATAGAAAATGAGCCTTTTCTAAGATAAGAAAAGGGCTGTGGTAGGATCACCTTTCCAGAGCTTAAGATTAGACTGTGGACAATCTTCCTAATATTTTTGTGAGTATGAATTGTCAGATCTCTTATTTAAACACCTAGCAGTGGAATTTCCTGGTCATGTGATGACTCCATGTTTAATATTTTGAGAAACTGCCAAATTGCTTTTTCAAGCAGCCGCACAGCGATAGTAAGAGATCCAATTCCTCCACATTTTTTTTATCAATACTTGCTATTATCTGTCATTTTGATTAATAACCATCATGTTGCATGTGAAATGAAGTGATATCTCATTGTGGTTTTCACAAAGCCACTTTAATCCAAAATTATCAAGCTACTTTGATAYCTCCCAAGATTCACTTTGACTTAGTGGATTTATATTCTTACATAAAATGCTTTATTGGTTAGAAATTTCATGGAATAGTTCAGTTTYTTCTCTGTTTATTATTTTCCTAAATTTGAATTACATAAATTCTTATTAATCTATATAAATCAATCAGGTCAGAAGCTCTGTGAAATTTAAGATTACTTGGACTCTAGTACCTATATGGACTAATTATTCCTAGAGTGCAAACAAAGAGAATTTTATCTCTGATTGAAAAGACAGTTTTTTTTTTAACTCACAAAGAGAACTAGCAAGTTCAGTTTTACCTCTGAGCCAAAGGTACAAAATTAACACAGAAAGTTAGATCCATGACTTAAAAGGCTGTCTTTCAGGGTGCATAAGATATTTTCTCTAGCAGTAAGACATAAACACATAAAGACCAACAATCAGATTTCTGTCATTTGCTATCCAACTTATAGTATATCCCTGATGCTTACCATGCAACATATTTCTTCAGTAAATACATTTTCTATCAGTGTTGCCCTTAGTGGAAAATATAGTATAGTCACAGGCCCATTTTACTGACAGTGGTAGAGCCATTCCACTCCCTTAAGGTTGCTGTTTAAATGGTGTTTTTTTTTCCAGACTTATAAGTTTATCTTATTGCCAACTTTGAACCCAAAGTATATCTCCTGTAAGACTTTTGTCTATTGTTTGTTTGTTTTATTTTGATGTTTTGTTTATCTAGTCTGACAAGCTGAGTGGATTCTTTAATGCATTTACATTGATTTCCTTATTGACATAGTTTTGTTTGTTTCTATTTTCACTATTTGGGTTCGGTTTTTGTTCCTCCATTCCTTCTTTACTGCTTTCTTTATCATGATATTAGTACTTTCTATTCATATTTTAGTACTTTCAGTGATTTATTTTCAATATATGTTTTGTTATTTTTCTAATAGCTTTGGGGTTTTCAGTATACATCTGACTGACATGAATCTGCTTCACATTTGCACTACCTTCATTTCTGGGAGGGACAGAAGGT